TTTCATTACCATTTGAAATAATCTTAAAACCAAACCAATACGTCAATCCCAAAATAAAGTTTTAAATATTTTTCCCAAAAGACACCCAACATGGGTTTTCATTTCAAAACAAAATAAAACAAAATACTGAAATCAGAACCAAAAGCCAATCGCTATCCCAACAAGAAGCATCAACACCACAATCAGGAACAGCCCACCAAACACATAATATGTGTCATCGCATGACCTGCCTCTCGTCTAGCAGCACTAGCAGTGTCAGCAGTCTCCATCGAATGCTGATACAGGATTTCCATTCCTGCCAAGACTTCATCCAAAACTTCTCGATGCCCAGCTATCACAGCGAGACTGTGACGTAGGCCCGCTGCTATCGACTGCAATCTCCGGGACTCCTCCGGGGTCATACCTGGCTGTCTGACAGGTATCCCTATGACTTGCTGAGGTGAGGGTGCTCTCGGTCCTGCATCGCTGGGTTCTGCTCCGCTAGGTCCTGCCGTGCCATGTCCTGCTGTGCTGGCGGGTATCCTTCCTGGAATGGGAACACTCTTCCTCGCTGTCCTCCGAATGCGAAGTCCATAGAGCGGTGGCTGTGGCAACACCGATGTCGGTGATGCCTCGCGTCGTTGACTCGGGGCGTTGTCATTGCTGATCTCCACCGAGTTCCCAGTATCTTCCGTATCCTCTGATGGGTCTTCTTCTACCGAGGGGGGGATTACGTCGAGGGATAACAGTGACGTAGCCGGATTCATCGGCTGAGGCGGTAGCGCGGGAAGATGACGATGTTGACATAGTGGACTGTGACATAGTTTCAATGAGATATGAAATAAATGACAATGCATGCCTATAATATGCAATGCTTACACACACCAAAATTAACCTTTTGAAATTTTGAAATAAAGTTTTCTCAAATATTTTTGTTGAACATATTCCCATTATAATTAGCTCAAGCTTTGTATAAATCTTTTCTTAATTAAACATAGGTGATCAGGCTATGTTTAATCAAGGTCCAATAATACAACTCCCGACCTAATTATACTAGTAATATGTTTGATGTAAAAAGAATTTCTTTGTAAGTTTTAGTTATAGGTTGTGTTTTCTTAAAGAAAAACCGATGTTCTCTATAACTTTAGCTCTGATACCACTTCTGTCACACCCCGCTAAAGCGGAAACGCAAGGTATGACAGCGATAACGGTTTCAATGCAAAAGATAAAGATACATCACCATAGCAGTATTTAAAAGTTTACAACCCATAGCTTCAAAAGAAACAAAATACAAGTTTTTCAAAATAACATTGTTCAAAATATAGCTTCATAATAGCTTCAACACGATGCAGCATGCTCTATGATGATGAATCTTTACATCCACTTACTAATTACTTCCTGAAAAAGCATGTAAAACGAGCGTCAACTATGAAAATAGTTGGTGAGTATCACAAGTTTATAAATCGAGGGTACAATAATGCTTTTCGTAAGTACAAGTACATTGCTTTAATGATAAAACAAAGTTGATTGCTATTAAGGTATACAAGTTTATTGCTAGAACGGGGAAACGCGTTTGTATGTGTATGAGAAAACAATGAGTCTCAACCAAACCTATGACTGAAGCCCTATCGAGATCTATGCTTATCGTTCCATAGATGAATATGGTATCATGCACTCCAGCGATTCGGGCGAGTGAGGAGTTGTCAATTCCTAATAGCGCTATCCATAACGACCATTGGCTCAAAGAGTTAATGGTTAGAGATAAGGGAAGGGCCTTAGTACGATAAGTTCTCATGTTCCGTGTTGCATAGACATACATAAAGAAACATAGCAATACAATAGCAATCATGTTTGATACAATTTAAATACAACATGCAAACAGTAGTTTTTCTGGACATGATTTTCCACCCCAAAACATAAAAACCGAAAATAGGGGAGTGCGTGAATACTCACGATGTTTTGTGTAGACACAAGCGGTACTTCGGGATGCACCAACGTCTTACTACCGGGATCCTACGACATCAAACACACGCACTAGTGAGTTTCCATGTCGATATCTAATGCTAATATACTAAACTCTACATATAGGGAAATGCCAATTTATGTTTTAGTATTGGATTTTATATCAATTAGTTACACTTTTTCTGAAGTAATGAAATTCTATATATCGGGCGATTAATTACAACCTTGGAATATAAACTTTCCAAATTTTTAAGTCCTTATTACAACATAAATTCACGAAAATAGCATTCGAGGGATAAAAATTCTCAAACTTTTTATTTAACTGTTATTACACAATACTAAGCTGGGAAAATTATAAAAATGGATTTCCAAGCTGTTTAATTATATTTTATGATTTTTGAGCATTTATTTCAATAAAAATTGAAATAAATAGAAAACAGTTTCCAAAATTACCCAAACTTTTTATTTAATTGTTATTATACATAAATAGGCTGGGAAAAATATAAAAGATATTTTTCAGTGGGTATTTCTATTTTTCCTTGCTTTATTCCTTTAAATAGTCATTAATTAAAGAAATAATATTAAACAGTTAAAATAAATCACCATAAATTTTTGTAACATCATTTACAGTATAAATATCCTGGGAAAAATATCAAAAGTGGTTTTCATAATGTATAAACTGGTTTTGGGTATTTATGTATATTTAAGTGTATTTTAGTGCAATTAACTTTAGAAAATAAGAGAAAAATAGTTTACAGTAGAGAAAAATATTCAAAATTTTTATGTAACCTCCTACTCTATAATATTATATCCTGGTAAATTTTCATGAATTTTGGATAATCAGAACTATTTCTCCATTTTTAGACCATTATAATTACCAAAAATTGGGAAAAATAGTAAAACATGATGGAAAATCTTGAAATTATTTTCTGGAGTCACCCATCACAGGTAAGGTATGCGAAAATTGTTAGATACAATTTTCACATCCTATAAAGTGGTTTTGTAATTTATCATGTCCTAAATAAAAGAAAATTAGAAATCATATGAAACAGTAACAAAAATTGCTGAAATTTGGTGAGGGGTCATTATTCCCATAAGGATCATCCATGAATTTATTTAGGATTTATTGACCTCTGGAAGTATTTTATATGATTTATGCCCTTGGTTTTAGCAATAATTCTAATAAATCAAAGAAATAACAAAAGCTCTTGAAATTTTCCAGATTATCTCATGCATGCAAGGGCTTTCAAAAGGAAAAATGTAAAAAAATGTATTCAGAAGAGAAATGAGGGTAATGATTCCAAACAATTTAAGAAAAGTTGCATGCAATAATGCATGAAGTGTAAATGTGGCTGAAGTTCATGAATTTGTGTAGCCCATTCAGTGAGGTTTTAAGCCACGAAATTTCAACCATAATTCACTAGATATGTTAAGTTTCTAAGGTATTTTTCCTCAGATTTATGGTTGGGTTTAAGGCCATTGTTTAAGCAAGATAAAAATAGTGATCACAGAAAAAGAGCTGTATGCGCAACCTTTTTGTAAAATCTGCTAAAAATCGGATATTTAATATTTTACAGTGAGACCAGTTGGGTTTGAAAGTTAACTCGTGGAACTAACCAATACAAAAAGAATATCATGATTTGGTTAAGAAATGACTGAGTTATGACTGTTCAAAGTCGAACAAAGTAATCTGGCAGATTGCATGTTTGCTTGTGTGCATTATTAGGGTATTTCAACAAGAACATCATGCATGTCTTTGGTAAGGCCCGATTTCTAACACATGCATGGAATGAATGAGCATCCAAGATGTACTAGAAATGGTTTAAATGCTTTTGTTCATGCATGAACACAAAATAATGGAGAAGAACATGAAATATTAGGTTTTGATGTCACATGATCATATGTGCATCTTTTCCACTCCTTGCATGGGTTTGATCCCGGATTTTCACCATCTCTAACACATGCATTGTGTTATGGTGAGAATCTACAAACCACAAGGGGAGAATAAAGATTTCTAGCCATGGAAAGGCATAGAATCCGAAAAGTAGAGAAGACTAAGAAGAAAAAGAGGTTTAACCATGAAACTATGGAAGAAGATGTTGTTGTTTACCTTGGTTTTGACCTTGAGAGAAGTAAGAACACATCAAGGGCTTCACAATCTCAAAATTTTGCAGAGAAATTAGAGGATTTTCATGAGTTTAGAGAGAGGGAAGAAGAGAGTAAAGTGTGTGAAGAGAGTGAAGTGAGAGAGTGAAGAGGGAAGAGGTGGAGTAAGGGTTTAAGCTTAATGATTGTGTTTTGGGGAAGAGAAAGGGCATGGGGAGAGGTGATGGCCGGTTTTTGCATGCATTTTGGCCTCCTCTCTCCTAATTTTAAACTTTATAAACTTCCCTCCTATATTTTATATAAAAACATTCATTTTTATAAAATGTTTATTAAGCAATTTGATTTATTTAAAAATCTTGTTTTCAACAAATAATTTATGATTAATACTTGTAATTTATATTTATAGTTCATTGGTATAATCCATAATTTGATTAATAAAATTTGATATTAGGAAGTTTATAGCCCAATTTTATAAAGTTTTTAAGCTTTATAATTTATAACTTTGGATTTTTGGCTCTTTAGGGTTTTTGGAATATTGTTTGATATTCAACAACATGTTGAAGTATAATTAGAATGTTTTAATTTATTTTTAGAGTTTTATACCCTATTTCAATTATAACAAAGCTTGAAGCTTTATTCTAATTATAGTATTGGCATTTCCTATTGTAGCTAAGCAACTTACTAGAATTGTAAGTATCAAGTATACTAGTCCTAGACCTTAGTTGGATCCTAGTTTATGCAAGATTTTTGACCTAATTTATACTACTAGGTCATGGCATGTTGTGCATGAATGGTTATTATAAAGATGCATGAGTCCAAGAATGACCTGAATTGGCAGTTGTCACATAGGTAATAATGGTGAATCAAATGTGGTTGTTAAGAGATGTGTTGCCCCTGTTGTGGATGATCAATCATTTCATTCTAACTTGATCACCGACTTAGGCTATTTGCCCATGTGGGTAACTTTACATGAAGTTGGTGGATCAAGTGATGCTCCTATTATGGATGATGAAGGTTTCATTGAAGATGATGAGGAAGACAGTGATACATACCCTTCAGAAGACAAAATTATTGATGATAATGATGAAAACGATGATGATCCTGTACACACATATTATTCTAGTGACGATTATGATTGAATATATTGTAATGTTTCTGTATCTTTAATGGATAGTTTTTACAATGTTTTAAATGTTGCTTATAATATTTGTTTAATTTATTTTTATTATTTATTTTAATCAAAGAAATGTCGACACATGTTGCACGGGGCCATGGTGAAGATGGTGGGAATGAACCTCCCTAACATCAACAGAAGATCCTGCCATCCTGTGAGTCATGTAAGTAACTTCTTATGATAAAATATGTCTTCATATTGAATATATTTTTAACATACTAACTTTTCAATTACGTGTGTCAATGTAGCAAGGACAAAGAAAACTCGTATGAATGGACGAAACATAAATTTGGAACAAATGTGTGATAAAAACAAAGGGCTACTACCACTTGAAATTGAACTTACGGGAAAACAATTTATGTTTTCTGGAGACAATTACCAAGTTTACATACGGTGTGTCTCAAATAGTGTTGCAAAATTTCTCCCTTTTCACTATCCAAGTAGGAAAGATGTCCCTACAAAATTCAAAAGCAAAGTTTATCTCGAAGTGGATGTAAGTATACAATATAATGTTTTATTTTTCTATTTAAATCTTATAATTTTTAGATGTGTAATAATCCTTTCTTTTGTAGAATTATTTTGATATTGAAGCTTTCCAAGACGCACCTTTCTGGAATCAAATGATTCAAGGAATCAACAGTGATTGTGCATCATGTTACAAGCGTCGGAAATGGAAGTTAAAGGAACATTTTGATACAGTGGGAGGCTATAAGGATGTAGACTTCGTAGAGAGAAATCCCCCACGGTTACAGTCTGAAAAAGTGTGGGGAAAAGTTATCGACAAGCATTACACAAATGCAAAATGGAAGAGAAAGTCTGTACAAAATAGTGATAACAGAGGAAAACAACTTTATCCAAGTTCACATGGGAGTGAACCATATTCCCAAAAACGGTTTAAGGAAGTAAGTTTATTTTTAGTATTATTTAAGGATTTATTAACAATTATATGAAATCTTAATAATAGTTTTTTTTTTTTCTAACTCTATATAGAGAAAAGCAACAGGAAAGGTAAATTATATTGAGGGTTGGAAGCAGAGTCACTATAAAGAAGGTCGTGGATGGTGCAACATGCGAGCACAACAAGATTAGGTAAGTAAAAATTTTCTATATTATTATGATATTAAAAGTGGATTACCTATAATCATTATGCTGCCGATTTTTAGTTAAAAAAAACTAATATATGTTTATGGTTTTTTTGTAGGTTAAAATTAAAAATGAATATAAGAAAATGTTGGACGAGGTTGGTGTTGATGAATCAAAAGTCAAACAACTAGAATGCTTGGATCGTGTACTTGGAGAAAGGAGAGGTCATACACAGGGTGTTGGTCGAAAAGTGAAAATTGTAGCACCTTATAATATCCCGACTCCTTTAACAAATAATGTAGACCTCAATGCATTTTCTCTTCAATTGACTCAACAATTGAGTCAACAGTTTAATCAACAAATGCAACAAATGTGCATGTCTCAAAATCCAAAAACCCAACCTCCACCACCGGTTCAATTCAATATTGATCTCTCACAGGTACAAATTCCGAACAGACAAGTGATATATAGTGATGATGGTCAAAGTGATGATGCTTAAAGTACCGATTGGCAAACTTCTAGTGGATCAGATTAAATTAGGTAGTTCTTGTAATTCTATGATACTTGTATACATTTCAAATGAATGTTTTGATATTTTATTATATTCTAATGTTTTAAGATTATATTGTATTTTAATATTTTTGCAGTTAAATTTACTGATTTAGCTATTTTGTAAATTTAATGTTTTGAAATTTTGAGAAATTATAGTGGTTAGAAGGAACTATATGACATAACTATAGAGACGACATGGCCATACTTATAGAGACGACATGTCGTCTCTACAAAAACCTATAGTGTAAGGTCCTAAAACGGATCTTACCAGGGATCAAATAGCAAACACAATCAGTAAATTAATTAAGAACGAGTAGAATAAAGAACAAACAAGCTTGCACACGCTTTTCTATTAGAATCACTTATAGTACAACTTGCGGTTACAGGAGCTGAGAATGCTGAGGCATCAACAAACTACAAAAGACCTAGCAAACCCCTGTTTATACAATATTGGGCCGACCCCTGGGTTTACGGCCGTAAACAGCTTAAAGCCGTAAACTCCTTGACAACCGTAAACTCCAAGAACAACTATAATAAGCTATCAAATAACCAAAAAAGACCTATTAAATAGAAAGCCTAGACAAAAAAACTAATTATACCCTTTAATCTCCCCTTGGTTTGGTGCTAGCTTTAGGTCAAACTTTGTTCACGAGCATTACATTATCCAGTCCCATGGCTCCATTCCACATTCTCTTATTAATAATCTCGGCAACCATCGCAGTGTACTCTTTCGCAGCCGACTCGAAAATCTCCTCAGCAACCTGAATATGAAAATTGCTTAAGTGATGAATGTCCCATTTTCTGAACTGGAACAAATCCCTTTGTCGTATAGATGAATGCATCCTTCTTTATGTTTGATGACAGCAGATGTTGTTGTCTCATCAAATACCCAGTAAAGCATCGAACTCAAGTATCCATCTGGATAGCTCTGAAGCACTAGATTTTGTTTGACTTGTTTTGTAGCAGGCCCTATCACCACTTGGAGGGGATGACCAATTTTAGGGTCAATGACATGTGGATAGTATTTTATCACAGATTCAACAATTTTCATCGATGGGAATCCCTTCAAAAATTTAAAAACAAATCTTTTTGAGGATTAATATCAAAACTAAAATTAAAAATAAAATAAAATTAAATTAAATTAACTTTGCAAAAATTAAGATAATTGTTAGATTTTAACAGTTATCAAAATAAAATAAATTAAAATTAAAATAAAAATAAAAATAAAAACAAAAATAAAATAAAATTAACTCCAACTAAAATATACAACTTAAAAAAAAATTACTGAGAATGAATTTGTTATGTTGGGATCAAAGTTGTTGGACAACCTTATTCCACTTGTTGATACCCTTATCTTCATGTCTTCATCTGATCGATCGCCAATATTGTGGTCCACTTAAACACGAAAAATTTGTGACAAGATTTGGACAATTTATCAATGACATGATACATACATATATCTAGTTATAACTTTATTATCATGATTGGCCATAATTCTTAAATAATTTTTTTTTCATGACCATTTACCTAACTACAACCAGGGATATTGTTGTCCACCTAAATTGAGCAGCGAAATCTACAGACAACCTGTATGTGTTCAATTTTAATTGTACTAGAACGTGTTTCCTGCTTCCTGGCATGCCCCAGCCATCAAGGACTTTCAAAATACTCCTTACACCGGGTGAGCAGATAATTATTAAAAGAGAAGATAGATTTAGAATGCATATGTTGTACATCCATGTCGGATCTCTTCTAATCACACAAAGAATAAAACATATGACTAACTGAAGTTTTAGAGGGATTGAGAAGAGAATGTTGCATATACTGTGTACCAGGTCGGATTTTTAGTCACGCAGAGGAGACGGTATATGGCTAACAGATAGAAAGAATTGCATAGATAGAAGATGAAGAGAGATAGAATTGCATATGTTACAGTCCAGGTCGGATCTCTCGATCACGCAGAGGAGGTAACATATGACTAACAGACAGAAAGAAATAAAATAGCCTTCTACAGACCTAGTTTATTGGAATTCCCCAGTCACATCATCGAACCGGAATTAAGGATAGAATCCGCACATCGAGGAAAAGTGAATCCACAGTTCTAGATACGGGTTATTTAATGTGGCCAGTAGATTCCCATGTATATCTCCCTGCTCAACCTATCTGAGCGTCGTGATGTCAGGCTAAACGGATCTAACTAGGTCAAAGTCTGTCAAGTCCTTAAATTCATTAAGTTCAACTCTCCTTGGTTAAGTCCGTTTAAAAATTTTTGTGCCTACCACCGCATCGAGCACAGAGCGTAGACGATTCAACTTAGGTACGTTACACAGATTCAGATTGCCGGTTATCACTTGCTAATTTCATTTCCCATCACAACACCTGCAACCATAACCATTAGCAATATAATTTTTTTAATTTTGTGGATTTTTAAGGTTTTTTGATTTTAATTTTTTTTATTGTTTTTGGATTTTTGATTATTTCTCCCCCTAAATTTGTGCATGGGTGAGAATAGAATAAAATAAAATAAAAGAAAATAAAATGCGCAAATTTAATCTATCCTACCTAAAAAAACTTAATTGTTTTTGAAGAATTAAGAAAAGAAATAAAATTAAAAAAAAATCTTAATACTCAAAACGAATCATTTTTAGAAGACCCACAAGCACATCAAAACGAGCTTTGTTAAATGGCTTAGTGAACATATCCTCCATATTATTAGCAGTAGGGACCTGTTCCAGCCGGATTAGTGAACGTTCATAACAGTCTCTGATAAAATGAATTTTAATGTCGATGTGCTTGGTTTGAGAATGTTGGACTGGATTTTTGGCAATTTGAATGGCAGCCTCATTATCATAGTAAATGGGGGTTTCTAAATAATTCAAACTGTAATCCAACAACTGATGTTGGATCCAGATAACTTGATAACAGCAGGCCGATGCAACAATGTATTCCGCCTCCGCTGTGGAAGTTGAGACAATGTGTTGCTTCTTCCATTGCCACGAGACTAGTCTGTCACCTAGGTATTGACACCCTCTTAAGGTTGATTTCCTGTCAAGCTCATAGCCTCCATAACTACTGTCAGCAAAAGCATATAGATCAAATTCAGAATTCTTCGGATACCAAAGACCCAATTTTGGGCTGCCTTTGATATACTGAAAAATTCTTTTGACAGCAATAAGATGTGAAAGTTTGGGATTAGCCTGATAATGTGCGCATTGACAAACTACAAACATGATGTCAAGTCGGCTTGCAGTAAGATACATCAGCGATCCGATCATTGATCGATAGTGAGTCTGATCTACGAATTCGCCGTCAGGATCTGGAGTAAGAAGAGGTCTTTTCATCCATTGGTGTTGAAGCAGATTTAGCGTCGTGAAACCCGAACTTCTCAAGAATATCCTCCACATACTTGGCTTGATGTAGTAGGATTCCGGTTGAATTCTGTTTAACCTGAAGCCTCAAAAACATGGTCATTTCTCCCAACGAACTCATCTCGAACCGCTTCTTCATTACACCTTCGAATTCTTTGCAGAGCTATGGACTAGTTGACCTAAAGATAATGTCGTCAACATAGATTTGCACAAGTATCTGATAATTACCGACATGCTTGATAAACAAAGTCTGATCGATAGTGCCACGAGAGTAACCATGCTCGAGAAAATGCTTTGTTAGAGTTGCATACCACGCTCGAGGAGCTTGATGTAACCCATACAATGCTTTATCCAACTTATAGACATGATTAGGAAACTTTGAGTCAATGAACCTAGGGGGTTGATCAATGTAGATTTCTTCCTTCACCTTGCCATACAAGAAGGCGGTCTTGACTTCCATTTGATAAACGGTAAAGTTTATGTAAGAAGCATATGCTAGGAAGATACAAATAGCCTCCAGGCGAGCTACTGGAGCATAAACTTCAGTGTAATCAAGACCCTCAACTTGTCAAAACCCGCGAACCACCAATCGAGATTTATTTCGCACAATTACCCCTGAATCGTCCTGCTTATTGCGATAAACCCATCGTGTGTCAAGAGACTTCTTGCCCTTTGGTAACTCAACTAACTTCCAAACACTGAGTTTTTCAAATTGATGCAGTTCCTCATGCATTGCATTTACCTAGTTGGGCTCATTCAGAGCCATTTCAACATTCATGGGCTCTATTTGAGAGATAAAGAAAGAGTAAAGAAAAGTATTAACGTCTCCACTCTAACTTCTGGTTTTAACACAGTTGCCCAGCTGACCAATGATGTTATTGATTGGATGATCGCGTTGAATCCTTGAAGGTATCTCTTGGCTGATATCATTAAGAGAGATAGGAAGAGTGTGAATGTTGATACCTCCTTCATTTACTGATTGAGCCACTCCAGACGGATCTGCTACAAACTCATTTGAGATGGTTTCAAGAAAGAGTAGTTCCATAAAATTTGAAGAGACATCGGAAGCATCATTAGGCATGAACTCTCTTTCTATTGAAGTAAGTCGCGTAGTTTCAGTATCAGGAGTATCATTTTGGGTTGGAGATTTAGGACTATCATGTTACATAGATGACTCCCCCTCATGCATAACAGAGGACTCCCCCTTAGACGTAGTAGAGGACTCCCCCTCAGGCGTAACAAAGGACTTCCCCTTAGATAACGAAGAGGATGAAGATGGAGGTCAGTAGACAAATTCTTCGTGTTCATCTTCATAAATATTCTTCAAACCAGAAACAAATCCAGGTGAGCCACTCGAAGACACATTTATTGATTTGAACAGCGATGTGTAATCAAACAACCAATCCGGACCCACTCTAGCGTCCGTCTCATTTTCTTTCAACCAACACACATTATAAGATTCCACAATATGCTTTGTCTTCTTATTTTACACCCTATAGGCGGTGAGAGAAGCATACCCTATGAAGTAATATTCATCGGCCTTGGCATTAAACTTGGGGTTGGTTTCTAGGTGATGAAGGGTGCAAGCGCAGCCAAATACACGAAAATGACTGACTGAAGGCTGGTGACCATATATAATCTCATACGGGGTCTTCATCTGAGCTTTTTTGATCAACACACGATTCTGAACATAGCAGGCAGTGTTTATCGCCTCGGCCCAAAAGAAAACTGGCAGTTTTGAATCACAT